GATGATTTTATAGTTCTAGACGGCACGAGGTGTACAGTATACAGAGTAACTGGTAATTGGCTTGTTAATGTGAACGTAACGTCGGTGCTTTTGATCTTCTAGTAGAGTTGTCTGTCGGCTGTTTCGGAAACCGTCATCGGATGGATTAACTTTTAATTCTTCATATAAATCAGTTTCTATTATATATTAATAGTTGCATAGTAATTTATTAAAATGAATTCTCTTAATTGTTCTCCTCTCACAGAAAATGCAATTACATAAACTGATATGTATACAAATATAAAAACATCATTACAATAAGCAAAACATAGACGTGATAATAGGCAGCTTTATCCCTAAATAGTTTTACAGCATCTTTTTTTATTATTACTTTTAATATGTAAGTTTTTATTTTAGGAATTTTAATTTTACAACTACTATTTGAAAAATTGGCCAAATATTTCATGATAATGTTTAATTATTCAATAATCACGTTACTAGTTATAACAAACTCTGTAGATACTATAGTTAAGGAATAGTTTTATAAAATATAATTTCAAGTAAACCTCGAATATTTGACATCATCAACATAGAACACGGCCTGTGTAGTCAGTCAGGTTGTGTCTACTTTGGTGCAAACCGGTTCCTGTCAGTCAATACGTTTGCGTGGTATTGCCAACGATGCTTGTGGTATGTAGGATCCATTCATGGTTTTGATTTTTTAAATTAACTTTCCCTTCTATTTTACCACATACTATAGAAAAATAATCCGTTACAAAAATATACTCATACATTTCCAATTCTTATATTAAGGTTTGTGATATGAACGTAAATTAAATTATTACTTATAATTTTTAATATGTATTTTAAATATAAATTTAGTATTTAGTATTATTAATATTGTAGCAGGTACAAGCACAAAAACACTGATTGTGGAAAAAGGATTTTGCGTGGTATTGCCAACGATGCTTGTGGTATGTAGGATCCATTCATGGTTTTGATTTTTTAAATTAACTTTCCCTTCTATTTTACCACATACTATAGAAAAATAATCCGTTACAAAAATATACTCATACATTTCCAATTCTTATATTAAGGTTTGTGATATGAACGTAAATTAAATTATTACTTATAATTTTTAATATGTATTTTAAATATAAATTTAGTATTTAGTATTATTAATATTGTAGCAGGTACAAGCACAAAAACACTGATTGTGGAAAAAGGATTTTGCTTGAACTTCAGTAATGAAATTAAAAATCTCAATCTTTTTAATTTCAAAAATGCAAAATTAAATCTTTTCCTCCTTTTTTATAGATTATTGAAATTATAGAGCTTTTATAGACATAAGATATCGAAGTACTATCTAAAATACTAACTGAATATCACAACATATGTTATTACATACAAATTTCTCTTTATATTAGTAATACGTGAAGGCAAATTTGATCCTAGGTGAGAGTCAGAATCGTATAAAAAATTATCTACGAATCGATCTTCGTATTTGAAAATGGTAAGATGAACAAACGCTAAATCGATTAGTTATTAATTTTCAAGTGAATTCTATACTTACCTAAGACAATTTTGCCGAAATATACGCTTACAATGCAAATAATGACGTGAGAATAATAGATATATGCGAAAACAAAGAAGGTTCCGGTTATTTCCATTTAATATTTACGTTTTATTAAGCACCAATATTATTGACTTGCAGGTATTTAGAATATCTTCGGTTTCATACTTTTAAGAGTTTTTTCTTGTAGGGGCAACTGATTTATGTATCAAAGATCATATCTTCTACTTCACTTTACGAAATCCAGCTTTCCTTTTAAATATTGAACGCGATTATTTCTTGGTTGGTGGTGGTTGTCTACCTAGTTATTTATTTGTTCATAATTGCAATGAAACTTGTATAAAGGCGAGCTAGTGACATTGTTTATCACATATTTATTATTGATTCTAGTATTTTCTTTAAAAAGTCATCATTACGTATGCAGTGGTTTACCATATTGCCCTTCTTATTCTCTAACATACTGACCAGGGTTTTTTTATATTTTTACTTCCATCTTGGGTTAATCCACCATAATTGGTATTAATTATCACATATTTTCATATGGAATATTATATACAAGTTTATGAAATTTAATTTAGATCTGAGCAAAGATTAAAATTCGACGAAGGACCAAAATATTCTAAAGTCTATAATTTTTTACTAATAAAACACTCTCATTTATGAATATATAGGTACTGTATTGATTATACCATATTTTAAGGTACAAAATTGTAAACTACAGAGTAGAATATGGTCATCCACACTCAACGTAATGGAGGGGGAGGTCATTACCCGTTTTTTGTTTATTTTCCACGGAGTAATGATATATTATTTACGTGGCGCATTCTTCGCATGACATCCCAGGAATCTTAGAGTCATCATCATTAAATGAGTTCCGTGGCGGCTGTGTTTCAATTACATTTTTTGTCATACACATCTTCATGGGTGCGCAGAGTGCGCACGATTGCTCCTAATATATTATTTGCGCAGAATGAATGATGAGACTAAAATTGATATCCTTTGTGTGAATAATTAGTTATTCATTCGATATGTTGCATAATGTTTCATTATAATTTGACACGTTTTTCATTTCAGAGAACTTGACTTAACTAATTGTAAATTATAAAACTGACATAGTGCGACTAGGCTATAAATTGAGTAAAGTATTTTTTGATTCGGAATAGAAAATAAAATACTATTTATGTATTAATTAGAAATAAATATATTTAAATACCTGTATATACCTAACTAATGATGAATTTTTATTTTAATCATTTATATCACATGTCAATTTATTACTCTATTTAGATATACCAACTCATTAATATTAATGCGTCTGATAAGATATCCTGTAGTGTTAAAACTTAATATAATTTACTGATTTGCACAAATTTCTTACCTTTCGTGTCAAATATTTTTGCAAAAATATATTGCTATTGACCACTGTTCAACCGACTTTAATAAAAGGATGTGGATTTCAATAGAGTTTTTTTTAAAGCTTAAAAGCTGGGGCTTCTATCCGGTGCTTCTGCTTTCTTATATAAATTTCTTCAAGACCTGACCAGTAATATGGTTTTTTCGTGGTCTAAATACGATATTGTTTTTAGGGTCGATTAGCATCATGTGATTAATGTCGAGGGCTTGGCTAATTTATGTAGAAATGGGAAAACTACTTTATGACTATATGTATAGAAACAGCGAAATAATAAGATGTGAAATTACTAATTTCTAATTATCAGTTTAATTTAGTTTTAAATTAAAATTTAAACATTTGCATCAATACTTCCTATTCGACTCTGTGACCTCCATTCGTTTCCTCAAAAACTCATCTCATGTAAATCGTGCTTCACAAATCATCCACTACTAACAATATAGCATTGATTAGTAAATTTTAAATATTTTACTTTTATAAGTCGGTGTAATAACGTGATATACCTACGATAAATAACTTTTATCCTCGATTTTGTCTGCTTTTGAGATACAACCGAGCTCAGTATACGAATACAATCTATCTTCATGTCAAGTTCTGTTATGATCTGTTCAGCTGTTTCAGACGTTTAGTCGTGAAAAATTAAATAAACGGATGTTATCTATAGTCAAACAGCTTGTATCATGTTGCAATATTGTTGCATAGGCAAATCAAGTATTATATTTACACAGAAATGTATCGTCATATAGATTTAGCTAAAATGTAAAGAATAGGAATTCCTTAACAGATTTCCAATTAAGATTACGAGAACTTAAATTACGAATAAACGACTATTTCAACTTTATCTATCTCTACATAACTATTAAATAAAATATAATATTTGCCGTTTCAATGTACAGCATAAAATAAAATTAGTACTACTTTGATCATGTTAATGGCACATAAATTTACCAGACGTATAGTAACTTAATATAACCTTAACGCTGTTAATATTATTAATCGCGGAGATTGGCCACAAAATGCTTTTAACGTAATTCGATTCGGCCAAACTGGAACTCTTGTGGAACGGAACCAGTGTATTAAGAGCTTCCTCTCTCCTCTCACTATTCGGTAATTCTGTAATGCAAGATGATAACGAAGAGTTTAGTATAGGTCTGTAATAAATGGTAGGTAGTAACTACTCTCGCGCAAGCGTCGTCGTTGGTCTCGCCTTGAGATTAAAGGCTCATGTTACTCGGATCACGTTCAAGGTATGCCTGTGGATTTACACAACAGTTTTAAAATAAATAAAGCAATCGTTTATAAAACATAATCAATGCCTGATAGATTTACTAAAAATTATATACTTGAATATCTTTTCACAATTTTATCATTGAAATGCAGGTCATAAGCAGGTCGTAATACTAATTAATATACTTTTATTTAATAGGATGAAATACCATTTTTTTTAATGTAACGCTTCTGACGCATTATAATCACACAGGAATGCAGTCTTTATTTGAAATTAGGAGTATAATATTAGATTAATTAGAGGAATAAAAACCTGTAAATCCAATCAAAGTCGTCGTTTTATTTTTAAACTGTAGGTATGTTGTAATGGAATACCATAAATAAATTTTAACATACAAAGATCTGCAGAACATGAGGCCGAATCGGTCCACTTCACTCCGCCCTCCTCGGACGTTTAATTAAACCGTGATATTTTATAGTATGAGTCGTTAATCGTTCTTAGTGAATGTTCATAAATAAATTACTTATTAGAACATATACCTATTTGTACAATAGTCTTGAAATTACTTAAATGAATAGATCATTACCAAATATGTCGTGGTTGATATATCCTTACAAAACTAAGGTTATAGATATATAGATTCTCTTTGAAAGTTGTTGTTACATTAATGTACATAGTATAGTTCTATTAATTGATGTATTATATAAAACAAATACTTTAAGAGGCATTATCAATCTTTTATTTTATATTGTTCCCAAACTCAGAAAAACCACTAAACTTCACTAATTTTGTTACTTTTTCTTTTACAGGTACATACATTCTAAAGAAAAGCCGTTCAAATGTACCGAATGCGGGAAAGGATTCTGTCAGTCGAGGACCTTAGCCGTCCACAAGATTCTACATATGGAAGAATCTCCCCACAAATGCCCAGTATGCAGTCGAAGTTTCAACCAACGCTCTAATTTGAAGACACATCTACTGACCCATACAGACCACAAGCCCTACGAGTGCAATTCTTGTGGAAAGGTATTCAGAAGAAACTGTGATTTAAGGCGGCATGCTCTGACACACGCTGTTGGTGATATACCACCAGGGGACGTATTAGATGTAGGTGAAGAGGATATTGGAAGACCCGGCTCTCCTATTGAACCTGGTTTTGATGATGATGATCCAGAATTGTCGTCTCCTGATCATTCTCCCGTAAGGCGAGCGCGATCATCTTCACTTGAAAGTATTGGAAGAGAACAAAGCGAAGAAAGACCAACACCTAGAAGAGCATCACCTTCAGCGGTGGAACGGACGCAATGCCATCATAATGAACCAAGAGATCGAGCAAGTCCTTACACTATGCGCCCTCAGTATTTAGAAAAAAGTCGCGCACACTCTTCTGAAATGTATGAAAAACGAAGATACACTTCCGATGAAATTATAGAAAAGGAAATGCGTTACACTGATATGCCTGAACAAATAAGGCATCCGCAATTGCAAATTCGACGAGATTTGCATCAAGTGGCTCCTCCAGATACATCTAAAATTGGTCAAATATCAGGTTCATCTGTAGATCCAGGAACTTCTGCAATGTACTTGACACCATTTAGAAAAAGAAGTCATCCGCCAGATATTGGTGAGAACATGAGGACTTGTACTGCTGTTTATAGAAGCAGGTCACCCGAACCTACTAATCTGACTATGCCACGACAGTCGCTTGGAAGTAACGAAGTAGTAGTTGGAATACCACCGACAATTATGGGGATGCCTTCATACCACAAGTTCGGTTTGCCAATGCCACCACCACATCCTCAAATGGCATATGGTACAGTTCCACATACAGTTCTTGGCCCACAGCAAACAGTCGCTCAGGATTTAATAGTTAAACATGCTCCTCCTAAAGATACGATTCCAAGCTGCTCTTCAACAAGCGTAACAATGTGCAAAGATGTTTTGCAATCAAATGTGAAAGATTGCGAAGATGTAAATTCAAGTGCTATTGCTAACGGCATAAAGAATATTGTGGGAATACAGCCAAATAATCCCAAGCCAGGATCAAGCCAATCCAGTGGTCCTAAGAAAGGTTTTAGTATAGAAGATATTATGCGACGTTGACTGTAAGTTAACTTTACATTAAGAAGTAATGGATTATGATGATTTTTTTAAAAAGAAAGTTTGTGTCGTCCTGTATTTTAAGCTTAGTTATAAATTTTTGACAAGTATTATTAGTTCAAGATTCGATTTTATGTTGTGTAAAATTACTAGGGGTGTGTTTGTATGTATTTGAATCGTGGATTTGGTTTTCGTAAAGATCTCATAAGGTTTGTTTGTGCAGTGTTTTGTTTACCTCCAAATTTTAAAAATTAGTCTTATCAAAATTATAGGCAATATAATATTATATATTTTTATGTTATTGTTGGAGTTTTGTGTGTATTAGAGAATAAAATAGTATGCAGTGTATCCATCAATTCTGATTTAGAGTTACATGATTGTTATTAGGCATTAAGGTCTACAAAAGTTGCGACTGGTTCTTTAGCTAATAAAACTGTTATTTATTATATAGATATATCGTAAGTCTATTATAATTTAGAATTATCATTTTTAGTAATTTAATTATTGTATGTATTCGTGATTTAACTTAAGCAATCATAATAGTGTTATGTTGTACATATAATTAAATAATTATTTAGGCTATTATCAGTTTAGGTATATAATTGTTAAGTATTGAAAAAAGAATGTCTGTAATTTATATACGAAGAAGATTCATTATACTGTAGTGTTTGATAAGATGAAGTAAACCATATGAAATTCTATATTTGGAAAATTTTAATTGTAAAAGTTACAAATTGAGTAAATTTATTTTTAAATAATAATATAATAGTATAACACAGAACAGTATTTCTCTATTCTGTAAAATATACAAAAGCCATTGCTCACGTGTAATTTAATGAATTTATGTATGTACCTAAGTAAGTAATATCATTTTGAAATAAATTAAAAGTGAATTAAAAGTGTCTTGTTTCTTTTCAATTTCGAAATCTGTCATTAGTAAGTACAATTTAGATCTATCTCATAACAATAAAAATAACCTATAACATGACTAATTAACAAACCTACGTGGTTCTCAATACCGAATAATCATAAGGCGTAATATTAATAAGCGTATTACAAATATGTTCTACAATGAAGTTTTCATGTAAGTGTATGCAAATCATAGGTATCAAAATATAACCAAGATCGGTCTTTATAGTTAACCCAAGGGCTTTTCTTTATGGGCCGGTAGAGCAAGCAGCTCATTCAGTACAATATAGTATACTTAAGTGGCATCTCTAGAGGTGAAGTATTATATACTATACGTCCCTGAAGAAAATAGTTAATATAACTATCTATCTATAGTTTATAAAGAAATACCTAAAAAATATGAAAAAGTTCAACTTACTATTAAATTATACAATAAATAGATACTGTATCCTACTAATACCTATTATAAACGCGCAAGTTTGAGAGTATGGATGGATAACGTTTGTCTCTTTTACGCAAAAACTACTACGGATTTTAATTAAACTTTACAGTAATGTAGCTAATACATCAGATTACAGATAGGCTATAAATTTCATGTGGTTGTAACAGCAAGAACTGCTAGTCAATAACACATTTGTAAGATTGAATAGCAAGAAGCAAATAATCTTAAAATATAGTTTTATTGTAAGTACTACTATCTATCAATACTTTCAGAATATATCATACCTATATTGAGAAGAAATAATGTCATATAAAATTGTAAGGATAAACCTTAGACCCAAAAAGTTAAAAAAAGCAGTTTATACTCGATAATTTGCTTTTTTAGTTGTAATAGTACTCGAGAGGGGGTGTCAATAAATATTTCATTCCTATATGTATAATAGTCAATAAATATGTAATTTAAATAACTAAAGGTACAAATTGTTAATATGTGAAAAAAACATTAATGCTCATGACCGGTACAGTAAAGGACTGTAGAAAAAGTCAAGAAGAAAATATTTTTAATAAATTTTAATACTTTTCCCCTATACAGTGCATAGGGGAAAAGTATTAAAATTTATTAAATGTTATATCTATTTCTTATTAAGGTAGGTACGAACAATTCAACTGCAAAAGTTGCCATTAACATTTTAGTGTACCCAAAACAACAGTCTTTAAAAGGTGTTCCTTTTACGATGCACATTTACGACGCGCCAACCTCTGAGCCATTCCGACTGCTACTTGAGACTTTATGCAAATCGCTTGCCGCCGAATGAGAAAAAGAAATAATGTAAAAATATATTTACGATCGAATGTCGTTTCTCGATATTTTAATCCGACCGATTTGAGGTGAAAGCTCCAAATGTGAAGCAGTGGCAATCAATTTATATTGCTTGAATTTCTTATCTAGGGTTGTCGATGCCTACTTTGATTGCTTTGGAAAAGTTCAGTAAGAATTCTTGAAAGGGTATAATATATCTTTTAAGAAATAAAAACTGAAAAGAAGTTATTGGTTAGCTTTTTAGCACATAGGTGTCTATATATTATAGTTGTTTAAAAATGGAGTAGTCTATCGTAAGAACTGCTGTCAATAATTTAGAAAAAAAATCAAAGAATAATATAAATATATATAAAATATAAATAAATAAGTAATGGAATCCGACGACGCAAAAAAAAATTACCTTCACGGGATTACACTCGTTTGGTATATCTTCTAAATACCTAGATTCACAGCGGTTGAAAAAGTGTTTACTTCTGATCTAGATATTTAGATCTAGACGTAAATGATCGATATACCATTTCACCTCCGTGGCCGTTACCGCGTGGAGGTCAACCTGACATGGTATATTGCTAGCAATTGGGTCAGTAGTCCACATTCCCTCAGTGCGGTGCCTAATTGTATATGGTGCCGAATAAATAAATAATATTTATTTATCAGGGACCGTATCATATACATAATTATATTACTAAGCCTAAAGAATAATTAATTACATTTTTAAAAGACATTAATATTTAATGTTTTCAATAAATACATGCAAATTAATTCAAATGTTTACTGTTTATTAAGTAAGTTGGCATGTATTCCAATGAAATTTGCGGTTTTCATTCATCATACTCAACTAAGTTAGGTACACAACCAGGCGACTAATATTTACCTAACCGAATGTATAATAAAGTGATTTGAGAATGCCATTGACTTCTTACATCTTTCTTAGGCTTTAAACTGGCAATATTAAAATCTGGGACAAATCAGCATAGCAGTGGTGGTCTTCGTTCTGAATAGCTTCGTTTCCTAGATCGTTTCGTGAGTAGCGAAATTAGGCTCAGTTTCTTATACTGTAGTCGCTTAGCCGATTTTGCCCTACTGCAAGCGCTTCAAAATAGCCCCTGATGTTATTTTAGTGTCGTATAATAATAAATTTCGTCTTATTTTATGGTGATGTCTGCAGAACACATCATTCATGTAGGCGACGATTACAACTTACCATCAGATGTTTTTTCGAACTACTCTAATTCTATTGACCGCAGCTGGCCGTTTCAGCATCACCGGACGATTGGGCGTGAGTGTAGATGCAGTGGCAAAGCCACGGACTTATGGAGCGGGTGAAGCCCAATGTAACCTACATATATAGGAATAGTGTAATCGTGAATATGATACCTGATAGGAATACTACATACTGCGTCCATCTCAATAAGTTGACAGACAAGGCAATGATGATCATCATGATAGATTACACTTTTGTACTGTTGCTAAATATATTAACCACTATAAAAATTCTCAACTATCACTAGTTTCAAAATGGAAAACAATAAATTGTACATAACATGTAACCTTACCAAGAAATTGGTATGAAACCCAGGCCACGTCAAGTTTCGGCAACAACACAGCCAAGCGTCGCACGTTGGTTTCCGAATAATCGTAAATCTGCCGCGTGATATGAATTCGAAAAGTAAATGAGCAGTTTGAAATTTTACTAGCAAGAACACTGGGAAACCCATATGGGTAATCTAAACCACTGTGCAGTACGTGATGAGAAAACATAGCTCAGTAACTATGTACGGACACACAGTTCCTCAATTTGACGTACTGGTGTACGCGTTGTGGTAATAATAATTACTGTAAAAAATATTTATTTGTTAGCTAAACAAGCGACTTCGTATATTTTTGTTTGTTTTTAATAAAATAAATACAAACATTTTATTGATGCTTATTTATTTTATTTATTTATAATTCTTTATTGCACCAATATTAAAAGTAGATATATATATGTAAAACAGTACATTAAAGAAAGAAGATTTAGGTGGTCTTATCGTTAACGCAATCTCTTCTAGACAACCTTAGCTTGCTTACCACATTACATTACTGCATCCGAATCGGTTAAACCGTATCTAAAATTAGCGTGCACAGAAAAACAAATTCTAATACTTCATTTTTTTTATTTGTTTCACCTTCTATTACGCTGATAAAGTGTCGCAATAATAGTAATGTTTCTTACATAGAATTCATCATTGTACAGATAATGATCAATTTTATTTTTATTATATGTGAGTAATATGTATTATATGTCTATTACTGTTTAGGGACATTTTTTTGTAGTAATACTTACAATTCTTTATGTAAATAAAGTTCAATGTATGATATTAAATATTACGATTCTGTGTTATACTTTGTAAATTTGTTATTTTTATCGTGTAAAGTACCTAACGATAGTGCAAATTTAACAATATGATCCAATCGATTTCCGACTTAAGAGGTACTAAAATAGAACATAACTTATTTTAATCGACATATGCATTCTTCCTTTTTGGTTCCATATAATGATCAGAATATTCTGCAGCTTTTGTTTTATATTTCAGTCAAAACAGACTGTTGTTAATCGTTGGGAGCCGTATGTTCCTAGAGTAGTGAACAAGTGCCAACAAACTTCGCCTTCTGAATACATTCTGAATGGTCGCACAACTTTATTAGAAACTGACTCACACTAAGTATGAACTACGTAATTCCTTGTAAACCAACTGTCACCAATAATGTAATAACTCTACCGGAAATTAAAACATACTTAATTTAACGCTGCCGTGAGAACTACGACTCCGAAGATAATAGACTAATAGCTGTTTCTTTTGCCGTTTTTTCTATAAATTGTATATTTTAATGGCTTTCAAATCCGGCCTTTGATGATATAATAGAAACTTAGTTATATAGACTGTAAATAAGAAATATTTTGAATAGGTGCTCGTTATTAATCTATTTCAATGACTTGCTCATTTGAACTATATATAGTTATATGTATAGTTACATACATAATAAAGATCCTTTATTCTCAGATATTATACTAAATGGATAATTATATTTTGAATTTAATAAATTTAGTAAACGAGCCGTTAAAAGGAAACAAGTAGCCTGGCTAAACAAAGACTACAAATGTATATAAACTAATATACATAAATAACGATGAACATTTCTAAATAAATCTGTTAAATACATTTATATAAAGAGAAATAATTTAATCTAACAATAAAAATATAATTTTATTCAATACACGTCCCTTTTGGTTGGATAATACAATAGCAATAATAAAATGCAATGTCCTTAAAAATACATAATGATGTCTATCGGCATCGAGTCATATCTTCTGATCTAGTGGCTCGCCTCATTTTCCAGGCGGGCTGCAACCGTCTACTGTAACTATGAACTTTAGATGCATATTGAAAACTAAACAAAACCTCCCGAAATATTTCTATATTAAAAGAACCTAATGTCTTAACATATTCAATCATAAAATGGC